AAAAAAAAAAAAAAGAGGTAAAAAAAGACAAGTAAGGAATAAATCAGGAGATGCTTTGTTGGCCTTTTTTTGGACCACCAGAAGCTTCTCAGAGCTTTGCAGTTCAGGGAAGTCAGTCAGGAGCATTTAAATAGAGATAAAAAGGCAGAAGGAAAGAGTAAAGATTGCCAAGGAGGACAGAAGAGGGAACTCCCTCAGAGTTCCTAACCAACTGTCCCAGTCTGTTGCTGTCTTTCAGATCTTAAACTCACTCTGACTGCAGCAGATCCCAACAGGGATTTGCTTTCACTTACACATTTCCCTGGCAATAGTCAGTAGAAAACCTTCCCACTAATGGCAGATCAACAGGACTATTTCTGCTCAGGATGGACTTGGAGCAAACTGTGGTTGCCATGGGATTCCAAAAAAGCCACCAGAGCTCAACTCAAAAGCTGCCTGGAACTCCACACTGCTTTTTCCAGGCTTGGATTCCTAAAAAGTTCCAATTTACATTGTCTGGAGTTGGCTTGGAAGGCAAAGGAAGAGTTATAGAGAGGAGCCAAAATTCCACAGCAGCACAGAGGCCCCTCCAGAAGGAAGACAAGATTCCAAGGGGAAAGGAAAAGAGAGAGAAGAGGAAAACGAAATGGAGCATCCCAGGGACATCCAACTCCTCCCCAGTCATGTTCTCCCTTGTGAGAACTCACCTTCACCCACTGGTCTGGTTTGATGTCTTTCAAAACCACAGTGAGCTCTGCTTTGTCCATCAATATCTGCATTTTGGCACAGGTGGGATCATCACTTGTGCAAATACTTATGGGCACCATCCACATGGGGAAATCCTCCCCTGCAAGAATGGAAAGGATGGTCTGAGGAAGAGAAAAGTGTGGGAAACGAGGCCTGGGGTGGTCAACCAGGTCTCACAGCAGGTTCAGCTTGGGCTGCTTAATCAAGGCACAAATGTGAAGAAAAATGATAGTTGTAGAGTTAGAAACCAAATCACCTTTCAAGCCAAACATTTTCATTCCTATAAACATGGAAGAGGAGTGGAATCTGTGCTTAAGACAGAGGTGGATTCCACATGAGGCATTTTATTCAGCACCAGTACAAACCAGCTGCTCCCAGAGCTCCTCATGGGATAGCACTGGCCCCAGCCTGGACTCTCTGAAGGAACACTGAGCCAAGGAATCCATGCAAGGACATGGAAACCACATGTGGGAGAGATTCCCCCTTGGATTTCCTGAAGCTGTCCCAGCTGGATCTAAGCAGAGCACCTGAGTGCTCTGCACTGGATCTCAGCACCAGTACAAACCAGCTGCTCCCAGAGCTCCTCATGGGATAGCACTGGCCCCAGCCTGGACTCTCTGAAGGAACACTGAGCCAAGGAATCCATGCAAGGACATGGAAACCACATGTGGGAGAGATTCCCCCTTGGATTTCCTGAAGCTGTCCCAGCTGGATCTAAGCAGAGCACCTGAGTGCTCTGCACTGGATCTGTCTCAGCTCCCAGCCACAACCATCTCTCAGCACTCATCTTACCAGTATATGGTCCACTGGCACAGAACTTCTTCTGGACTAACTTCAACACTTTGTCATCTTCTTGCTGGAGGGAAAAAGAGAGAAAGAAAAGAACTGTTAGAACATCTAACCTCAGATTTTGTGTGTCACTGTGTGTTCTCTGGTTCAGGGGGTAACTTGTTTTCTCCTCCAGCAGAAGGAGCTCCCTCAAGAGAGATTCTCAAGCACTAATCCCTGTTCCTGTGGGAACACACATGCCCTGTTTCCCCTCTGGATTTGCTGCCTGGCTCCAGTGATCCTCCCTGAGCCTGCAATCTTGTAGCATAAGCAGAATGGCAGTGGAGTCAGAGCAGGATGTGTGGCACAGGGAGCTAAATCACATCTTCCCTCCCCCATCACACACACACACACACACAGAGCAAACAGGCTCTGTCAGCAAACTCCAGTGATCCCTAGAGTTTCTGGGCTAACTCCTAAGGCTTTGCAGCAGGTTCCTGGAGTGAGCTGCACTTCCCTCCCTCCAGAGCCAGAACTGTCAGTGCACACAGCAACCACAGCACTGATCAAAGGCAATGTCTGAAACCACTGGATGCTCCTAAATCTGCTCCTTAAACCACAGCTCCAGGCACAAGTTGTGCTCTGAGGTGACACAGAGTTAGGTTTACCTGTTCAGCTTCCACATAAATGAGTGGAAATCCCATTTGTTTGGTCCATGTGTTCATCACAGCAGCAATGGGTTTGCCACTGGCTTTTTCCAGGCTTTCCCAGAGATCCTCTGCAGGAGAAAAGGCTGAGTCAGGACTCTCAGAGTGTCAGATGTTATTAGGGGCACTGCAGGAGAGGTTGGGTCCAGTTTGTCTTGATGTTTTGGGGTCTTTTTATTGCATTGGTACAGCTGACAGGCAAGGAAAAGGGAATTCCAACCACTCAGGGGGGGACAGGAAAAGCTTTAGTACAAAAAAACCCAAAGCAATCAATACACATTGTGAGAAAGGAGCATCAAAATTAACACGAATATTCAACCAGAAGAATCTTTTCCCTTAGTTTTTCATGCCCAAAGAGCTGAGAAACAGTACAGAGAGGTGTTGGTTGATAGAGCTCCATGTGCTACTTGCACATTCATGCCTGATGCCCAGGAAAGTTCAGGAAAAGGAAGCACTGGGGGATGTCAGACAAGACTTTGACCCGTTTAACCACACCCACAATCAATACTGCCAGTGGCTCACTGGGCAAACCAAAGGCTATACCCAAACTGGATCCCTGGGCAGATGTGGTTAATGGTCAATCAGCCCCTTCAGGTCACCTCAGCCACTCCTGAGACACAGAATCCCCCAAGGATGCTGAGTCCTGGCTGTGCAGGGACCACACTGGGTCACACTGGACACCAGCCAGTTATTTCCTGGAGTTTCAGCTACCTCAGGTGGGCAAAGAGCTGTTTAAGAATCCATCAGTGATTCCAGAATCATTTTCCTTGGACCAGAGTGAGCAGTTACCTGTGGCAGCATTCCTCTGCTGGAACTTCGTCAGGTACAGGTTCATTCCTTTCCTGAAGTCCTGAGAACACACAGTGGGATATGTCATGGCACCAGAGCAGAGGTTTCTCTCTCCTACCTCTGCACTGCATTTATATCCAAGGAATCACCTTGGAATCAGCTGAAACCTTAGATTCAGTTGTACATCTCTAACTCTTTCCTTATTTCCCATTACCTTATTTCCCCTAGGGAAGTGCAGAGCCCAAATAAACTGGGGAGAAATTCCCCAAACACAGAGATGGAATCTTTTTTAAACCTCAGCATTTTTAAGTGCAGAAAAGATGTGACAATCTCCACTTGGCTTGTTCAGCCCCATCCCTTTACCTCATCCCCAATGTAGTCGTGCAGCATTCGGATCACAGATGCTCCTTTGCTGTAAGAAATGGCATCAAAGATTTCATCCACCTCAGAGGGATGACCCACACTGACCTGTGGGAGACAGCAGAGCTCACAGTGAGAAGGATTGGAAGTGCTGTGAGATGGGATTTGGCTTGGGCAAGTGTTTTAGGAGCTGCTTTTTCCCCCTGCACATCCATCCCTAAAGTGTCTCAGTGTCTCTCTGCACTCAGGCAGTGAAACTCATCCAGACAGAGCTAGGCCAGGGCTGGGGTAGAAGTGAAACACACTCTAAGTTAGTTTTTGGGGTTAAATCAAATAGATTTGGGGGTTCCTGCTTCAACACTTACCCAACAGCAACAATAGTAGTGGAAATTGTTTAATCCAGGGAGAGTGAACAGTACCCACTGAGGAAATCACTCTAAAATGAGCTGTGGTACAAAGCAAGGTCATTTCCCAACATCTGCTCCATCAACCCTTCCTTAATTCCTTAAAAAACTTGATGTCTAGGAGTGACAAGGGAGTTTTCCTTGAGGAAAATCCACAACTTCAGATTTCCATCTGCATCAGAAATGGCTGCAAAATTCCCTGGATTTTTAAGTCATACAGAGCTGACAAGGAAAAAAAAAGATTTTTAAGTCATACAGAGCTGACAAGTTAAAAAAAAAGGGAAAGCAACCCATGGAAAATAACTCACCTCAATGGGATGGCTGTTGTCTAAGGCATCAAGCTCCTGAGCACGTGTGTAATCTGCAGACACAAACTGGGTCCAGATGTCATACTCGGGGAAGCAATGATCCACACACAGGTACTCAATCCATGAGGCAAAGCCTTCATTCAGCCACAGGTGGGTCCACCATTCCTGGAGAGACAGGAAAGCACAATAAACCACACCATTCCAAGGGATTTGTTTCACCAGGGAGAAGTTTGCAGCCAGGAGAAGTTCTTAGTGGCCTAGCTTAGTGTAAAATGTTCATTCCAGGTTGGATGAAGCTTTGAGCAACCTGCTCTGGTGGGAGATGTCCCTGCCCAGGGATGGAGTTGGGGCTGGATGAGCTCTAAACTCCATCCCAATCCTTTCACATCCTATGGTTCTATGAAATCAGGGAAAGGTGATGGTTGTAAGCACAAATTGTTCGCTGGAAAGAAGTCCCTAAGAGCATCAGCACTTAATAAAGGTCCTCCCTTGAAGTTTTAGGAGGAGAACTGCACCAGGGACTATGGAATTCCCAAAGACTGGACTAGAGGTCTGAGGGAATACACCTGGATTAGGGAAAACCAGTGACAGGCAAATGTTGCAAGTCAGGGAAGCAGCATAACTGTGGGAACATAAGTGTCTTTCCAAAATGGAACACCAGCAGATGCAGAAGACTTGAGTTTGGGGCTTTTTTTCCCAGCTGGAACAGCAGCAGGTGTAGGAGACTGAGTTTAGGTGGATTTTTTCCTTACATAAAGGAGAAAATCTGGAAACTGAAGAGTTTTGACTATGGAAACCTGAAGTGCAGTGAACAGTTCAAGGTTGTTCCTCACCAGCCCCAAGTGAGATTTAAGGTCAGAATGTTACACTGATAGGTCAAAACTCTAATATTCCAGTGGAGTAGGGGAAGGAAGGGGAAAAAGCTATGGATACTGAGGAGGAAAACAGCTTTTTCCATGGGACTAACTGCTCCTACCACCCATGGGTCACTGCAAACAGGGTGAGGAGCAGTGTAGCTGTGGTGCCATGGGCACAAGGAGCTGGACAATTATCTTCCAAACTCTCCTGTTCTCCTCTGGATGAAACTTTCCCCCCTGGGAGGGTGGAATTTCAATAAGGAAAGCTGTGACTGAAACTCCACACGGATCAGAGCTCTGCTTTATTTTTTGAGTGGAGACTCCTCAGTTTTCTTCTCCACTCCTGATGGCATCTGTTCCCCAGACAAGGTCCCAACTCACAGGGATGAACGGATTTGGGGGCAATTAGCTTGGATTTCTGGATCTATTCACCTCCCTCTGCTTCTCCCTCATTCCTCTGGCAATATAATTCCTCACAAATCCATTTCTTCCCCTGGAATTCTTCTTTGCTCCAACAAAACTGGCACATTGTGCTGGTCAAAAGGGGCAAAGCAAAGATGCCACTGAGGCTTTCTGCACCTCATTAGAGAGGAGGAAAAGCTGATTTTCTGGGAATTAAGCAACATTGAAATGTCTTTTCCTATTTCACAGCTGCATCACAGAACATAACATAATAACCAAGAAGAAAAAGCTCTTGCTGAAAACCTTTGAAGAGCCACAGCTTCAAAAGGAAAGGAAAAAAAGCTAATTTAATGTAAATTTTAGAGGCTTTGGGGAACTTTCTCAGCCTTTTTTTTTTTTGCCTCAGTTCTCAATGGACAGAAGGATCATGAAGGGTTTGTGGTCACTGATGGTCTCTGAGGCACTTGCTCACACTCTCTAGTCAGAGGATGTTGTTTCTCCTTCCTTCCAGCTGCTCAGCTCCACTAAAAGCTAAAAATACACTACTTTACTAGTCCTTTTTCCATGTAAAGATCGTGTTGCTCTCCCATGGAAGCTCCTTGTGCTGCCACAGACAGGACTGGACACAGCTGCCCACATGGCAGAAAAGTCTCACACACTCTGCTTTGGCCATCAAAAATATTTACCTTGGGTTTTCCTCCACCTACTCCCAACGAAGCACCCAAAAAACCCACAGCAGAACATATCTGGGGCTCCAGAAATCAGACTTTTCCCACCAAATACTCATTTCTTACAACAAGAGAACCTCCAGAACCTGTAAAATGTTTGGATTCAAGCACCTGCTCACAGGATTTTGGGAATAGGGATATCAGGTCATTACCAGAGGAAGCTGAAGCCATTTAGCAGCAGATCCAGGTGTGGGGTTAGCACTAAATGGGATTTTTTTAAAACAGATTTCCCTCTTGCTGCCTCACAGATACCTTTATTCCCACTGAAATGACCTTCAGGCAGTCGCTCCCCATTTATTCCAAGTAATCAAGAGTTACTCTTGAGTAACTTCTCAGCTACAGGACTGGAAGGATCTGCAGAGCTGAACTGGCACTGACACACATGTTGGGGACAAAGCTTGGCAGGTGGATCCTGCTTGAAAGGAAAACACTGGATTGTTGCTGAATATGGCTCAATTCTAACCAGAAATTAGCCTAGAAATACTTCAAGAGAACACAGCAGTGAAGAGGAAAGTGGTAATAAAGCACTGTTTAAATGTAAGGGTTTAGGGGTTACAGCACTGACAGGTTAATGGTTGGACTTGATCTTTGAGGTCTCCTCCAGCCTTGAGGATTCCATGATTCTGAAGACAACATGCTGCTATTGAGGAGCACTTAAACCCATTTTGGCAGGATATCATAGAATCATAGAATTCTAGAGTTTAGGGGTTGGGATGGAGCTTAGAGATCATCCAGTCCCAATCCCTGCCCTGGGCAGGGACATCTCCCTAGATCAGGTTGCTCAAGGCTCATCCAGCCTGGATTGAACACCACCAGGGTCAGGGAGACACCACATCCCTGGGCAACCTGTGCCAGTGTCTCACCACCCTTAGAGTAACAAACTTTCTTCTCACATCCAACCTAGACTTTCCCTCCT